TCTGGAAGTAAGGCTTAGACACCTTAGCCTATCCGCAAGGATGAAAAATTTTACTACTACCTTTTTATAATATTTGTCACCAGGCAGTGGCACGAAACACTACCTGTGATGTTTACCAATTAGGATTTGTCACGAAAGGCTAAGCTCTAAGCTACTAAACACTAAACACTAAACACTAAGTACCAAGTTTCTATTTATCCTATCAGCAATAAAAATTCCTCTCTTTTCAATTTGTAATCACGAACTACGGCGCGACAGGCGGCGGCGTAGTTGTATCTATATCCAGACATAACGTCGTTATTATACACATATCTAGAGCTGTGTTCACATCGTAACTCGTTGCTATGCTTGAATTTAGATAAAATTATATAAATATTGTAAATACATGTACGTAATCGCCTTTGATGATGTTAATTTTTACATTGTATTTCGAAAACATTTCTGGCATGATAAGTATGCAAGAAATGTTTTCGTTCCATTATCAAATGCTGTCGGAAATCAAAATGCCGACTTTTGTGAAAGTGGAATATAGAGCTGGCAAAAAATATTGAAAAGAGCAGCCGTTCCGTTTGACGCCAGTTTTCATTGTCCGATGTATCTAGCGACGTCCTAACTATGGAAAGTGGTTTACTATTTAGTTGTCGCTGTGGAAAGTAATATATCGATATGAAAAGTTTAATATTGCGATGTCGTTATTTTGGCACGACACATACATACATCACACTTGTCTCCCAATGTTGAAGGTTGAGACTGCACACCTACTCAACATTCCTGACATGCTTGTTTAGGTTTCATTTTATTTTTGACTTCGCCTTTTTAAGGTCATCCTCAATCTGGTTGAGCTCCGTGCTGAGGTCTTACTCATCTTTCCTTGGCCTTTCCTTGTCCTTTCGAAGACATTTGCTCCAAAATCAGGCCTACTAATGAAATACTGTTACATTGCCTAAAGTTTCACGATTTTCACACATTATTCGAAATTTAATATCGGAACTTAATCCTGTATATTATTTACCTCGACGTTTCGGACGTGTTGCAATGACCATGGTCTCGAAAGGAATGATGAGAGGTGTCCGCCAGGATGGCTGGACCAAACGAGATATACCAATCAAACTATGCTCATTATTTACTACCTATTTTCTACTATTTAGTAACTTTATTGATATGTATTCTACCTTTGCGCTGACGTAAATATTAAAGAAATAAAGGGACCAACCATTCTGACGTCAGGTTGGCTGGATCACTTTACGTTTTTCGTGGTTCTAGCAGTATATAATTTACTTTTTTATATAACTATTTACTACATAATTTATACCTAAACGTACTTTTTTTTTCACTACTTTAGGAAGCTTCTATAAGAAGTTATCTAAAAAATATATTAAAACGCCTTTTTAAAAGGTGTTTAGGTGTCTTTTTAAAAGACAGTTTATCTTCTCCGTGTAATTACTTTATAAATTACTGATTATAATTCGTTCGTTCGCATTACTTAATACCTACAAATGGAATGAACTTTTGTAATAGTGAATTCAACTAGTAATTAATATAATAATTGTTACAAAATATTGCTTGCAAAGATAATCCAGAAACCATTGTTGGCATATTCTAAGCGCCAGTAAAGGTATTGTTAGCAACAAGGGCTGTTGACATTTTAATGTTACAAATCACATAATGTTTTTTAACCGACTTCAAAAAGTGATTCTCAATTTGACTGTATTATTTTGTGTGTATGTTACATGACTAATCCGACATTTGTGAACCGATTTTGATGATTCTTTTTTGTTGGAAAGGTGGTCAGTCACCAGTGGACCCATTCAAATTTGAAGAAAATATTCCTTACCTTTAGGGTGACCTTTTAGGGTGACCTTTTAGGGTGACCAATCAGGGGATGAATCAGGTTTATTGTGTTTGACTCACACAAACTTTTGAGGACGGTTTTTTAAATAATATATTTATAACATCTATAAATAATTATTTAAATATACATATTACCTTTAGCGAGACGAATATAGAATTAAATAATTGAAAAATAACTGTGTATTGATAAATATAATTACTTGTGTACTTGAATCAATCGGATGTTGATATTTGTTTTTTTATTTCAGGAACATTATATTCGCGTGGGTAGTGACGGTACCAGCCGTTGCAGCGATGGCGGCTCTAGCTATGCTTGCTCTTGAAGCGTACGTCGTTTAAATACCGTTGATTATATTTTTCGAATCAGTATACCATGATCCATAGTGGTGCCTACAATGTATGGAGCCCATTCAACGACTTTTGCTTTACGATTTTATACTTTAATTAAAAAAGGTTCTTTTATTGTAAAACGATTAGGGATTTTTTATGACAAATTCTTCAAACAGAAGTATGAGTAGAATTATGTTGATAAAATTACAAGGTACTTTGTAATTAACGTATTATGCACCTACTCAATTAAAAAAATAAATAGTGAAGTGTGCATTTACATATATGTAATTGAGACTTGTTACGTATTTAAGTAAAGGAGATATGGAACCAAATCGTAATGCTTTTGGAGTGTGTGCTGGCCACTTTTTGACTACACTCGATTAGAAATATCTACATAAAATGTGAATTATTCTATTGTATGCGTACGTTTATAAGTTGTCGTCTAATTTTAAATAGTTTAAAAAAAAATTGTTTCGATGCAAAAAACTGAAACCGTATTAAAAATATTGTGATCTGTTAGGAATCGTTTTAAAAAAATAAAACAATTGAAACGAATCGCGCAATCTATTGCGACAAATCGTACGACTATTGGGCAGGTGAAACTGATATAGTAATCAAAGTGTACACATTGAGGGTTATCACTTTCCACTACCGACCGATTGCGCAATCAGAGTATACGTACCCCAGGGTTAAACGATTAACGTTAAATGCTACCAGGGTGCTCCCTGGTAGCATCCTCTCTTAGATAAGAAAGAGCCTTAAAAAAATATCCAGAGTGCGCTCAAAAATTCCAATTTTATTTGACTTATTTTTATTGGAACCTCGAGAAATTTGTATTCCTGACTGTCCCGATTTTTCTTACTCTGTAGGTGTTTAAAAAGCATGTATTTCAAACCTGCCCAAGAATATTTAGTTTTGGTAAAGAGTACAATTAAGAAAGCAATTAGGGACTTCTTTTATTAAGTACTTACGTACGTCACCTACTAGTGTACCTTCTATAGTGAAGTAGATTAACTAAAAAACAACTTTAGTTTTCGACTCATTAGGTTTCATTAAATATCTAGTCAATGCCTAAAAATCAATTCATGAAGTAATTGATGTAAAATTGTGATGTTTTAGTGGTCAAATAAAGTAAATAAATAAATTAATAGAAAATCTAGGTGAAAGTGAGTTAAATGTCTACAAACGAATTAAATGCTAAAAATATATACAGAACGACAAAAAAAATATTGTCTAAAATGCATAAAAATGATTTGGAGTGATTAATGGATCATTCTCGTGTTTGTGGTCTCAGCCTGTTTTTTGTGTAAAATTTTTATTAATTAAGTATTCAAGTATGTTAAATAATAATAATAATTATAACAATAATAATATATTTCAGTAGCAATCTTGCGAAAGAGTTCATCCAGAGAAGTACTTGCTTCCTTGCCTATTTCTGCCGCCAAGCAGTAATGTGAGCATTATTACGTTCCGGTTTTGTGGTTATGGGTACTGGTGAAATTACAAGCACATGAGACTTGTCAATTTATGTCTCAGGGTCGCAGGCGCAGTGGCAGTGCCCCTCAGATATTTGCGATTTAAAGCTCTGAGTGGAACTGTAAGTAGCGTATAGTTTACCACCAGGAACACGACTTGGACGTACCGTCGCGCGTCGTCACTTGAAATTATAAAAAAATCGACGGTAACACTTGAATACTTGAATAATACAGATTACCTCGGAAATTAGATAGTGAACACTATCCCGAGAATGGATGAATTGTTTATGACAATTAATAAATGAGAGATTGGTGTATGCAAGTAAATGTTGTCATAGATAAATGTTGTATAAAATCATTTTAGATTCATTTGAAAGCTTTGGAACAGTACAACATCACTCAAATAAGTAATTGTTGAATAAAACTATAGTTCAAAAGTGATAAATGTCTTTAATTTTTCTCATTGTAAAAAAGCCATTACACTGTTGTATACACTGCTGCTGTATGTAACTAGGCAAAGTAGCATACCATGCTATTTTGTCACGCAGGCGTCCCGTGGTTTAGATTAATAGGCCGCGAGAAATATTTCTATGGCCTACATTAATTTCTCTCGTCTTCTTCTTCTTATCGTATCGACGGCATATCATAGGTTCCCAAACTCATTGGCTCACCGTCCACTTAAGCAAGATAAAAAAACTGCCACCTTACCTATTTCTGCCGCCAAGCAGTAATGTCAGCATTGCCGTGTTCCGGTTTTGAAAGGTAAGAGTGCTGGTGAGATTACAGGAATATGGGACTTGTCAACTTATGTCTCGGGGTGACGGGCACAGTGGTTGTGCCCCTCGATATCGTTGCAATTTAAAGCTCCGAGTGGCACTGTAACTGTTATGGACAGGCATGTAGCTTACCACCAGGCGCACGACTTGTTCGTCCCGTCACTTGATGTTATAAAAAAATTAAAACTTTTTTTATTGTTGAATTTGATTAACTTAACATAAAAAGTTAGAAGGAAAAAAATGTGTAGTGTGGTTTGTATAGATAATTCAGGTATATTTTCAAATGCGGTAGCACCCCCAGGACAGCATCAACGCCCCTAAATTGCGTCTCGAGGTCCCTACCGCTCCCCTAGGACGCTTCAGCGCCCACTGGGCGGTAAAGAGCACTATAGGCAACTATGCACTGTTATTATCGCAGCCCAGAACTCAGCCGCGCTAATCACGCTTCAAGTAGCCGCCATGCTGAACTGTGTACATGGGATATATTTGCCATCGTGGTAAAAAGAGTTGCCAATTGGTGTAAGGTAGTCGTCGATTGATAATTTATCTCGTGAATTTGGGTGTAATTTATAGTTGTCTATGTAAGTGTCCAATGGTACCCACCGCGATGCAGGTTTCCCTTTAGTGCAGGGCGTATGAGTATGTGCGTTATTTGTTAAAAAATATATAGCATTCGGCAGGGTAAGCCACACGCAGTACTATACAAGGTTAAGAGCATGTTCTTGTGCAGCTTGGTACTTAAGATTTAAATTCAATGAACTCAGAAGTATAAAGCTTGACGTGTTCTTGATTGTACTATTTTGAAAACCACTAACGGATCACATCTTTTGTTTTACCACTGCCGGAAACTCACATAATAGCTTTGAAATTAAATAAGTTTTGTGCGAGTTCACGAAAACTGTAAAACAAAAAATATTGTTTTAATAGTAGAGAATATCGTAGTAAGAGATTTTGGGTTCATTTAAAAAACAGAAACCGGTTATCCACACTTGCGTACCCTTACCAAGGTTAGACCCAATTTAGGTCTCAAAAGCGCGCCACGAATCCATTCGTACTGGCAAAGCGCTTTTATTTTCTATTGAATATTCACAGTTTAGTTTAGGTTGCCTACACAGGGGCAAACAACTATGGTAGCAAAAAGCCATAGTAGCTTAATGGTTTGACCTACCGCTTCTCAAGCAGAGGCAGATGGTTTGAATCCGGGCTTGCACCTCTGAGTTTCTCGGAATATATGTGCGAAATTTAATTTGAAATTATAGTGAACTTTTCGTTGAAAAAGACATCGTGACGAAACTTGCACGTCAAAGAAGGTTCACAGCCCTCAGAAAACGTGTGAAGTCCCCAAACCCGCATTGATCTAAGCGCTTGCCTGAGAGGAGATTCGTACCTAGCAATGGGACGTATAATGGGTTCATGATGAAACAACCTTAAACACCTATGTTAAGACATACCTACATTGGAAGTGTCAAAAGAGATAAAAGGGTGGCTCTACATACGTACCATAGAAATGTTGCACATTGCTCTACATAAACCATGTAGGTATTTATGTACTTACACAACCGCTTACAATATTATTTCATTTGCAAATGACGGTGAAGGAACACATGTTGAGGAAACAATCATGTCGAAGGCAAAATTTAAACTCAATGTTATCGAATACCGTCCAACCCAGCTGTGCAAGAAACTGGGCTGTTCCCATCTGATTTCCTAATGTATCCACCGCCAATTTCAAATCTCAACTGATCCCCTCTGTATTTAGCAACTCCCAACTCCCCTCATTGTATTTGTAAAGTAAGTACCGTCAAGAGAAAAAGAAGTTTTGAAATCAAATATCCATTTATTGAGCAATTGTGATCAAATGTTATAATTATCACAGACAATAACATATTTTTTCAAATCACAATAAACAAAATAATTAGTCTTAAGTAATATTTAAAATCTTTGTTTAATGTTATAAATAGTTATAACTATTACAGACAATCAATTTTACTTATTTTTTTTATATTATAATTGGTTTACGGCTTTTACTCGCGAATTTCCCGCTTAGTTTCTTTATCGTACTTCTATTGTATAAAAAGAGCGTACAACATTTTAGATCGGTTAAAAAGGGCGACTTTTAGCAGCGCGTCTTCTATGATTCAGGCGCGATGCAGTCGCTAATCGTCTACCTTTACTTAAGGAGCGACCCAATCGCGATGCAAACGCGATGCAATTGCGACGCAAACGCGATGAAACGCAATACATGTTTATAATGATTCAACATAAGCGATCGCGCGTTTACATAGAAATCGCAAGCTTCGCGCGTTTGTATCGCTGTTAAAAGTTCCCCTGTGTAATCGCTCTTAAAGCTATTATTATAAACAAGCGAATACCAACAGTGTTTATAATTTGTAAATGTGTACCACTTGACCTTGATATAATAAAAAAGACGATTGATGTATGCGTCCATGCGTTCATAGGTATAAAATAGAAATACGATGGGATCTTGTGAATAAATGAATTTGAAAAAATCTCTCTTTGTCTGTGATGAAATGTTTCGTATATATGCCGCCTTGACCTTTCAAAAGTTAAGGGTTCAATTAAGACTGGAAGTATCAAAAGAATTAAAAAATAAAGTGTGCGCAAACACTAGCATTGAACTTGATATCCAAGTTGAACCCAATCCATTGCGTAATACTTCTTTAATTTATAGTTTTAACATTTCGCAATATACATTGTCATTTTGTAAAGTGTGCTTGATAAAAGCGTTCGGCATTGAACAGTAATGTATCACGATTGCAGCGTTTCTTTCAAAATTTATGAAATTTTATGAACCTTACAAAAAACCGTTTGCGAGCCGAGCTAAGACTTCCTAAAATTAGATGCGAGCGGTCCGTGACGAAAGACGAACGTTTACACGTGTTAGTTTTGTGCTCTAAAAAATTCTTGTTGTTACTGTATTATTTTCTGGGTTTTACAACTTTACAGTAAGTACTTATCTCAAATTATTAAATTACGTGTTAGATTAATTTTAATAAATGCATGGGCAGAAATATTGTACATACATAAATAACATTTTGGAGGATGCAACATGTTTTATGAATGTTGAAGTTTTTATTCAAAGTAGACAACCTTGAAATAATTTATCGAAATAAAACTGTGTATATACAAATATATCAAAGTAAGCAGTTGTTTTCTGCACTAATATGAATTCCCAGAAGCGGTACTTAACTTAATTGTTGAGTGTAATGTGTAATGTTTGCATTTAGATAAACTCTAAGGAGTATTGTAATGATTACAAAGAGCATTCTATTTCTCCCTAAATGTGTACTGATTAAATGACAACTAACAATAGCTAAGCTCACGACACAATACACTTATTATCATTCTTGAAATGTATAATTTATTTATATTCAATTAAGAGTTTAACTATTTCATTAACGCGAAATATGATTGTATTGGCACTGTTTTTTTTATATAATTAGTTTAAATATTTTTTTAAGTTTATTTATTTTTCTTTATGTTCAGGTACAAAATGCCGCAGGATACTTTTCCTCTGTATCCAAATCCTAACGAAGCTATGGTAAGTTTGTTTTTATATTTGAAAGTATGTACGTACAATGTAGACCACAGATGAGCATATCTGATACAATTAACCATCTACTTAGCAGTCATTTACAATTTCGTTACTTCTATAAATTGGCATTTTATCGTCATCGAAAGATATATTTAAAAGAAAACTACAACAGTTACAAATTGAAGTTACAAGAAATTACAAAATCATTTATTGCCACATTATTGTTATTTTTTTATTTCTCCAGAAACAAGAACAAATCTATCAAAGAAACTCATACTTTTTTGTTTGTAAAGGCTGTAGAGTAAATACATTTTCTTCTTTGTCTAAAAAAGTTTTTAATATAAGATAGCTAAAACGGTAGAGTCATTCTGTATATTTTGTTATAGCCTTGAAACTAAGTGTACAAGCTGTGCTAACAATGTTGATAGGAATAATTATAAAGTAATCAGTTTGTTAATTCAAAACAAAAATAAAAAGATTACATGCCATTTAAAAAAAAATACTTTCCGTAAAAAACAAATTTACAATTCTATCGAAAATAATCTTAATAACAATCCATATTTTTCGATATTTTTTTTCTATCTTGTATGTTTTGTTTCCATCCTCTAAGGTTTCGACAGAAGTGAAGTAACACCGTGACATTAACATTCCATTTATATAACAGATAAACGGTTGACCCAGTGGTGATAGTTAAAAAAAGATAACATTAAATAGGTATCACTAAGTACTAACAGAGTGATAGTAATTTATTGGCTTAAATTTCTCGGAAAACTAACGTATAGTTTTGTAGAAAGAAGAAAAAAAAGAAAGAAGTTTACATAGAATTGAGAAAACACGATTTCAACATTTAAAAACTGAATGCATACTGAATGAATCTAATTGCGTATAATGTGCTTATTTTTAAACTAGACCATTTTTTAAATTTTATTTTATTATTTATTTATTATTAATTTATTGGTTTCATTCAGAATTTTTTTTAAGGTTCAAACCATGTTTTTTCAATTCCACAATTTTGAACTACAACAGTATTTGGTTTAATGTGCCAGTTATTGCGATAATCTTATTTCAAAAATTAGATAAATAGTTGACTTTAAAAGTCTCCACTAATTTCTTAGCAACTTGTTTAAATACATACATATAATTTGAATATGAAATTGAAAACAGGAACTTTTTTTTCGGATCTACATCGCGTATATTTTGTTTTATTTTTCTCAAACAAACCAAATGTCTTATTACGTTACGCCTTATTTTATGTCTAATTTTCTTTTAGATAACAAATTTCATTTATTAAAAAGCTAATTTTATTAAAATGAAATGTTTTGCACATCGTATGTAGTGTAAATTGGAATATTCTTGGGTAAATTAAAAAATAAGGTGTTTAAATTAATAACTTTTGCAACTATGGTGAGAATAGGCGGTTTGGACTAATTTTAAACACGACGTTGATGACTACAAACTCAGCAAGTCGTGACCATGAGGCCTGTAGCCTGTCTGAAACGTTGCTTTGTTTGAAAACAAATATACGCAATTTAGGTCCCAAAGAAATGTGGCTTCATTTCCAATGTGTAGTAATTGCAAAAAATTAACAAATCCATATTTTACAATAGAGTTATTCAGCATGAGTCTTAGGTATATATTATATATTGATATGGTAATCATACGATAACCACATCCATAACACATTGCTATATACGTATATCTGTGGCTTGTGGTACATTATCGAGTAAATAACAATAATAAGGATTTGGGCACTTCTTGTACCAAACCACAGATGTAACATTCCGACAGTGTATTTTATATTTTATATTGATTTTTTTAATGCAGACAAAAGACAATTATGGCAATAATCCTCTACCTGCGCAGTCGGCGACAGGCGTCTCATCACCGGTGAGTGATTTTTTTTAAGAAGGAGCGTTTTCACTTATATTTAAATTACACGTGTGTTTAGTTTTTTACGGCACTGCCATTGCGTCCGTCACCCTGAGACGTAAGTTGACAAGCCTCACGTGCCTGTAATTTCACCAGCACCGCCCTTCAAAACCGGATCACTGTAATGTTGGCATACTGCTTGGCGGTAGACATAGGTAAGGTAGCAGTTATTAATTTAATTTAATTTAATTAGTAAGAATTACTTTCCTGGACGAACTCTTTCACAAGGAGCTCTACAGCTACTGGTTTCTGACATGTCAAACCAGTTGTGTTATCTTTGATTGTTGATTCATCAGTAATACTTCTTTTTGTTCAAAAACATGTAAACGATTTTAAGGTAATAGGCACCACCCGTATTTATCAATATTACACATTAAATACCAACTTGACATGGATAATTTCACGACCTCGGTGGCCCTACGGTTTGCACTGTGGGCATTGGACGAAACGGTTCCGGGTTCTATTTTCGGTAGGACCAATTTGGGGAATGAATTTTTTAAAATTGGTTCCAGCCGGTGTTCTGGAAAATGCCTCAGAGTGAATGCAACAGCATTCAGCTCTGGTGCTCATAGCGGTGTGGTTGTCAGGCACATTATTAGAAGTCACGTCTGATACTACAAGCGCTTAACATTTAACTGTCTTTCAGAATGAATTGTAGTCTAAAATAACAGGTTTTGGGTGCCTACTAAAGAAATTTGTATACAAAGAAATAATTGTATTTTTCTTTAAACGAAATATCGTACTGGAGCACCGAGTTTTTACATTTCGAAGTCGATCGTAAAACTGAATTGATCCCTTTCCAAAGAATCCCTTTATGTCGAAAGTGAAAGATCTTATTTGTTCTACGATAATCGTGGTGTTTATGCTTTATACTACTTTGACTAGGGGCATTCAGTCTTTTTAAAAATAATAAATAGAGATACATATAAATCTGCCCAAGTTATCACAACTAACGTAAACGCCATTTTTTAGAGAAATTGAGTTATCAACTTATCTGGAATCAGTGAAACGATCTCTAAAAACCCCTTAAGTGTTTTTTTTTGTATCTCAAGATACAAAAACCTGCTTAGACTAAATAGTTTCAGTTTTATTGTTAAGCAAAAGCAGCGTAATGGAAAAATTATTTAGGTAGGTGCGAATACTTATATGTCGAAGTTAAGACGAGGAGAGCATAGTCACTGAACTTTTGATTAAATACGACTCTATCTCAAGACGAGTATGGTGTCACTGGCCTTGAAAATGTAATATACCTAGTGGTAACAAACTTTGGGAAGTACTTGCGATTGGTGGCGTGACACCATAGAGGCAGTTGCATGAATACAAATCTGCCAGTAAGTATATTACAATCTACTCAGGGGATAACGGTGGTTAACATATTTAGGTTTTTCATTAATTACTCATGGAAAGCAAACAATTTGCCGCTTAAAGGTTTCTTATTAAGTACCGTTACGCGATAAGTGCTACCGATGAGTGTTTCGCCGACAGTGCAAGCGCTCACATAAGTCTTTCATTTACATTACAATCCTTGTACAACCTCAGCATTTTCACCTCGCTGAGCGCGTGCTTAGGTTCCTTTTAGTGAGCACCTGGTTTCATTAGACAGATTTAGTAAGCTATTATAGCGTAGGTATTTTCGATTTTGTATGAGAGTGATGTATCTGTTACGTAGTAACCATTAGGTAATCTGTGCCTCTGTATTTATATACATTTACTGATAGGTCTTTTTTATCTTATTTTTATTAAGGCCTGTAACACTGGGGTGCCAATGTCGGCCTTGTGATGTCCAATCCCTGATTGATGATAGGTTTTAAGGTTAGGTTAGGTATTCGAACATTATCCTGCACAAGAGCATTGCAACTTTCATGACTCAATATAATGCGAAACAAACAATTAAGACTAAATTATCTTAAGCAACCATCACACTTATCGACACCTCCTTTTAATAAGAGCGAAAATGACCGCGCGGGAAGCGAAAGACACAACGTCAATTTCGCTTTTACTGCATGAACATAAAACTTTTTCTGGCCGGCTTCGAATACGTGTCTTAAGTGTGGTGGCACCATATGTTCCCAGTGTAGTGGTATGCCTATTGCTCGTAAATATGGTGATGATGTCACCTATTCCAGATAGCTATACAAATGGGAGTAGTTTATTTGGGTTAATCTAGGACATCACATAATAGCGAAGAATATAGCACAATTAATTACTGTTTTAAATATTGTCGTAGAACAAAAGTCCATCGACATTCAGTATCAGAGATAGTTAAATGTAAAGTTTACGACAACAGGAAATTGAAAGAGATCTGTCCTTGCAAAAATGATTAAAGCGAAGCTTCATCAGTTTCCGGTAACACCAACCTATCGTACTGTCAGAGTGAACTATGTACTAACTGCATATTTATTAACTGCTTCCGTGGCCGTACGGCTACTAGTCTGGTCTGCCACACTGAAATCCCGAGTTCGAACTTGGGCTGGCCATTTATTTCTCTCATAAGAATAGGTGTAATTTGTGATTGTGTGTGTATCACACAAGCTTTTCCGAAGATATATATCTATATAGACACCGCAAGGACAGCGATCTGTATAAAAACCAAGCGTGCCACATTTTTTGTACATTCGATGACGCAACAAGCGCGATTTAGTGATGGGAAACCTCCTTCGGCACTAAAGCGATTGATTAAATCGAAGACGCGAACAGAACACGTATTTAGAATAATTATTTTTCAAGTAATTGTTGATTATAAGAAGCCGTGAACTATTTGTTAATAGTTCACGGCTTTAGTAAAAGAATACCAGAATAAGATAATTAAGTCCTTTATTAGTTTAGTTATTAATTTAATTATTCAATGCGTGTCTTATACCAGCGTCACATAATCTTATTCTTGATGTCATCTCCTATTGGAGGTCGGTTATCATTAGGGCTATCTATATTTTAAACACAGCTGCACGGAACAAGGATCTTGTGCTCAGGTTGAACAATTTCCGGAGATTGTTAAGCTACGAAGTACCCCTTCTTCTAGGTGGTCGTTTCACCATAATCGAGTGTTTAAAATTTGACCACTGAGATAGGAACCGTGATATAATCGGTGTTAGTCGCAAAATGCTCAATTCACGTCCACTTACGTTAAACTTAAGTACGTCTTAAACCAGCTTAAATTGATAAGACCCTGTGAATACAATGTGTTAAGAGTGTCTTTTGCATTGCAACCATTGGCTTAAGGTGTACTTAAGTTTAGTGCAAGTGGACATTTATTGTCGTATTCCAGAACTCTACTCAATGCTCAAGTCAGGGCTCGAGTATAATTTCTAGTGCTTTAAATCATACTCAAGTCCTGACTTGAGCATTGAGTAGAGTTCTGGAATACGACCCTTAAAGACACACGGTGTCCCTATCGATTTTGGTATACTGCAGCGTACTAGAGTCACATGGAGTCTCTAACGCGCAGCTATGTTTTCATCACTACTTTGAAATATACACATATTTAAATTTATAAAAAAATTACTAAAATGAACAAGATAATTAAATCGAGGGACATAATATAAATAGAATCTAGGTGCCCACGTATATATTTTACACAGCACCGTCGTCATAAAACTTTATTTTGTATATAACGAGATTTTAATAATTACCTAATTTTAACTTTTCAATACAAGCAAATTAGTCAAAAAATATGCAGTAGGTTTTGTGTGATGATAATATGATTTATCGATTGACATGTGTTTATATGACGTGCGTGGGCAGCTTCTTCGATACGAGCCAGACGCATGGAATAGGTACTACTATAATATAGTATAGGCGATCGACTATTGAATAGTTTCTTTGAAGGACAAGATACGAAATGAAGTTATCCCACAGAGAACCAAGGCCAGGCTTGCTTATTCTACCAGCTATGCCGACACATAGCTGGTACAATAAGCAAACTGGAGTGGCAGTGGGCTGGTCGTTATCTGTCGAAGAAACGATAACCGATGGGGGCAGCGAGTTCTTGAGTGAATACCACGGCTCGGAATGTAGTGTAGGATCCCTCTAGCCAGACGGAGTGACGATTTGCGAAAGGCTGCTGGCATCAGACGGATGCGACAAGCTGGGGACTGGTTTAAATGGCGCACATTGAGAGGGCAGTGGACTATATAATGGCGTTTTTTAGCAACAAGAACAAGTTTACACCGTAGCAATACCTTAATGGAGTGAATGGCATATAATAAAATCATAACTTTGTAAAGTCGAGACGGTGGAGTCGCGACACGATTGAGGCTTGGCTTTGTTTTAGGGTCAAAACGCGGGTGACCATGCTTTCTTTTCACTCATTCAAGTTACTTCAACATTACAGATAATAAAGATGTACTTGCACTTACACAAGGACATAATTAATTTAACATTTAAATAATATAAAAAATAAATAAAATCAGCTTAAAATTTGACATGTAAGTAAAATACATATATAAATTACTAGCAATTATAGAAGAACAATTTTAATTTTTGGGAAATGTTGGGTGCATCCATATGTGTTTAAATGCTACAATTTACTTGGTTTGTAATATCGCCCTATAAGTAATTTATCTTGCTACCTGTTAACTAAAGACAAGGGTTTAGTAACACAATTTTAATCTAATACCGCCATGAGTGTTTAATTAACACTAATAAATTACGCAGCCACGCCTGAAATGAAATGACAAAATGGCGGCGGGGGCGCAACTCGTGACCCCCGCCGCGCCTTCATTTTGGCTGCGCCTCAACTGTAGTATACGAGCGCACATTTGTTTTATTCTAAAGCAAAGCTAGATGCGGCCTGCCTCTTGCGTGCCCGCTCTTTGATGCTGCATCGACTACTAACCCGTTCATGGACAGTAACGTTTACAGTGATATTAAATATCAGAATAGATAGTACGGGGTACCCCTTTTCGCTATATGGATATCAAAAAACCAATAACGGCCTTTACAGTCCGATTACCAAGTTCTTTTTGTGTGTAGTTGCAGCCTACTGCTTTTCTAAAGAAAAGTATCAACAACTTACTGACAAAGTTCAATGAGTTATATACATTGAACATTTTATATTGGATCAACATAAGCACTACGGCGAGAAAAGTACCGACATTTTTGTGTGCTCATCAAACGTGTGAGTGATACGTGTTAATTTATAATCATACTTCGGCTTATATAATGAGGATGTCTTTTAGTTTAGTGTAACAACAACACACAATGGCAAATAGTGGAACTTAAATAAAGGTCGAAAAATAAAACAAAAGAAACTATTTAAAAAAAACCTGTTATGAACACACAAAAAATGCGTTTGGGACTGCTGAGATACAAAGAAATAAACAAAAACACGAATAAATTTTTCCTCGTCTCATATGACTTAGTTTTAAATCCATAGGATGTTAGTAACAGAAATACTTAAAAAATAATTAAAACGATTTGATAACGTGTTTTCTCCACTCAGTATCGTTTCTACTCGCCTAAGCTTGCTGAGATTGATGTTGATTCGTTATTATTCTTGGGTAGATTTTGCTATTCTTCAATTTGCCGCTCATCATCAACATTCAGCGGCGGCGGAATCTTGGATATCGTTTGATTACTCAAATGTTACAAATGAAAGAATGAAACTCCCTGAATACAAACTTTGTAATACTCACCTCATAAAGACGTGCTCGAGTTGAAAGAACAGCGTTATCCTGCACTCTCAAAGCTTCTTAGACGAGACAAATCGCTGTTTTTCAAAAATAGTGGTCCAATAAAAAATTGGTTCTAAAGAAGGAGAAATCAAAGAGATTCATTACTGAGATTTGTTAAAAATATGCAAAATTTTATTGTGATTGGATTCTAAGCTTTTGATTAGTTAGAATAATCACATGACAATATTGGGATGGGCAACTTTGAGCGGCAGCCACTTTTCAGTTTTTTTAAGCCATCTTCCTGATGAATTAGATGTTTTTGAGTTCGGCTATTATTCTAGAAAGCCTCTGCTGAATGCTCCTCTAAAAAGTCTCTTATAGCGATCCGTTATTAGTTAAATTACCCTCCACTATTCTAATATTAAATACGGCACGCCTACTTAACACGTTTAAAAATCCTTATTTACGTATTATATAAAACTACCTCCAATTAAATCACGGTGTCAAGGACTGACACAAATCACCACAAGTTGTAATGAAAGGTGCCTAACAATTTTAGACATACCATTGCTGTAATGCCACTTCCAGTATTCTATTCTTCTTCTACAACTCAGTTGACAGTGAGCCTGAACATGTTTTCTATCTTTCCAGGTTGTGCTTTTGGGCCCAGAAAACTGCGTGACGACTTGTCCGTTCTGTCAAGCGTCCATTAAGACCGCTGTGCGTCATACCATTACGAGCCGGACACATCTTACTGCACTTCTTTGTACATTGTTATGGTTAGTATGGTTACGGTATTTTCTTTCTTTTAGTTTTTGAAACAAATGTTTCTATAAGTTCTTACTCGAACTGCAATTTTTATGTACATACCTATACAAGTCTACCGCCGTTAGTTGAAAGGGCGCATGTAACACTTAAAAAAAAAATTTTTTTTTGCCGTGGTCGGTAAAAAAAGGCCGATCTGTTTCTCTTTTTATTTTATCGAAGATGGATAAGGTATGAAGTTACCGCAAGAGAAAAGTTGATATATTTTAAATTTAATTTCTTTAAACATTACCACCATCACTGTGATCAGCAATTGATTTATTGCGATGACTAATAAAAGTAAGGTGTGTGATGTCCTCCGTCAACAGTGCGACGACGCAACGCTTACGGACGCTTTTAAATTAGACTGTGTGTGTAGAAACGCTGCATTGGTGCGGCGCGACTGTACAGTGTGTAGGGCTTTAGTAACTTTCAGTTCACTAATTGTGACTGCAAAAGTGGCGCGCGTATGTTACGACAGTGGCGCTGCAATTGCGCTTCTAAATATTGTATAAAAATGACTAGTGGCTTGGCTACAGCGCCACTGTGGTGCCTCTAACAAGAGGCTTTTTCGTGGAGTGGATTCGACTGCATATTTCTATTTTGTGAGTATGCGAGGGTGCGTATCTGGTGAATGCAGTTAGTATATGCCATATGTTAGTTAGTGCCAGCGCACAATATTTCGTCTAGTACAAGCTAGCGGGACAAAATTCATGACGTAATTTCCAGAAATTAGTGTTAACGACTTGTAAACAACCCGTCACAGGTACCGCATTCCAAGAATTAATTAGGTCATACCCGATTACGCTACTTTATCGGGTGTCAAAGGTAAGTGATTTGGGAGTTCGATTTGCATTTATAAATCAGTTGCATTTTTAGCACACTTGTGACAACATCTCTTAATCTCGTGTTTTTTGTGATGGAATATTCTGTTGACGGTATGTACACTATTATCAAGTATTTTTTTCAAAAAAATTATATATATTTTTGGTGCAATATGAGTTTGAATATCTTTAAAAAAATCCTGCATATTTCTCCTTAATTGTTAACTTTAAAGGACTGCAACTTTTTATTTAAATATATAAATCTAGATGCTTCTGTATATTATATTTACAACTTTCAGGCATAGATTCATATATATTTCAAAGCCCGAAAAGCCCCGCAAATAAATTATTGTCCTTTTTTCAGAACGTGTCATTACTGTGACGAAATTGGAATTTTTCTAAGAATGAGAAAAATGCAAGAAACAGTCGCATTTTTGATTATATATGTGAGAAACATAACATCACTAATGCTTCTGACGAATCACTGAAAAACCTGAAGATGAAAATCTCAAGTCTTTCCGCGATACTAAATGAAAAGTGGACTTCATCTAAATCTAATAAAGAAGTGTTTTTAACCAAACAAATATTTTATTTGATATAAATATTTTAATTGGTTCGAGGCTTCGGGAATAGTAATGAATGTATGTATACAACAGCCGCAGCCTTCAACATCATCAGGACTTGGGTCTGTAGGCAGACCCAAAAAATCCTTTGACGACTCATCGCTGAACACAAAGAGACCTGGAGTAGAAGATCTTTTAGAAATTCGGAGTGCAAGTGAGCTAACTATAGCTGCGAAATTAGCTACTAGGAAGGAAGGGCACCGAAGTGTTGCTAAACAAATTAAAGAAGTCGGTGAAAGTCCAAAAAAGAATAAGTGTTCTGAACAAAGTAGGCAGTTTACTCCGGACGAAGCGTTAGCTTATTACGTAGACTCCAAATCTACTTGTCACTCATATAAGCAAATTAGGAAGTGGTCAATGAAGGCGGGACATCAAGTTTATCCATCATTCTACAGTTTAGGTAAATCCAAAGCTTTTCTTATCCTTCTGACGAACACATTACTGTGACTGAATCTCGAGCTGAAATTAAACTTCAGGCGATTTTGAATAAAATGGCTGAACGATTAGTTGAAGCTCAATGTGAAGTTATTAGAAGTGTGTTACCTCGTTCAACGTACTTATACGTTGGTAAGCAAATGGGGTTGTGATGGGAGTTCGGAGCATAGTACTTATAAGCAGAGGTTTGAGAATACCAGCGTTACAGACGAATTTCTGTTTGTATACTCATTTGTCCCCTTGAGATTTCATGACGGAGTGTAGTGACGGTGGTAGCCGGAAATATTGGAGACGAGTGAAACCAACGAATGCGGTTACAAGATTGAATATTTATTGTATATAATTATTCTAAGTACATTACACTACTACTAAATAAGTATACTACACTTACTACGTCACACCTCTCTCGCAACTAAATAATACTATATTATATTAATAAAACATCATAATATTACTGTTTGTTTTTAAATACGCTTACAACTAGTTGATACATTTTTTTTTAAACTTAGTAAACATAGACATACATTTAAAAAGACATTTTAATATGTATACAAAATAAGTAAATGTATTTATTTTTATTATTTTTTTTTTAATTTAACGCAGTCATTGTTTGTATAGTTTTGTTCGATTCTTATGTACAGTAATCAGCTTGTTATTTTTAAGTTCATCTACATTAGGTGAAGCGTCTCGTATTATTTCATATGGACCTGAATAGATACTACTGAGCTTGTTACCAGTTTAATTTTTTATCAAAATTAAATCTTTTGGCTTGTAGGTAGCCGAGTTCATGTTCTTATCGAAATTTAATTTTCGGACCAGTTTGCTTTTGAGAAAATTTACTCTTGCTTCTTTTTGAGATAGTTGCAGCCGATATTTAAGTTCCAATGAATAATTGTCGTGACTGTATAACGGTTCTACAATCTTGCTCGTTAAATTACTAGGTAAACTGCACAACTTACCAAAAATAAGTTCGCACGGAGTGTATCCCGTAGACGAGTGTACTGACTCACTCCAATAGTCCGGATGATTATCTGTTTGTATTCTCAAAAAACTACCTAGAGCTTTATGCGTGTTTTCCAAGGCTCCTATGCTTAGGTGATGGTAAGCTGTCGGCTTAATTTGTGAAATTTACATACCTCGGCTATTACTGCTGATAAGAACTCCGTTCCACGGTCTGTACCTATACAATTTGGTATACCATAAACTAATATGAAATTATTTACGAAAGATTTTGCAACCTCATTTGAGCTTTTAGTAATCAACGAGTAAGCTCCGACGTACTTTGTTAATTCGCATTGTATAGTTAAGATGTAGCTATTGTTATTGTTGTCTCTGTCTAAGGGTCCAAGAAGATCCAAAAATATTTTGTCAAAGGCTGAAGTGGTAATTATCATCGGCTCTTTAATGTGATGGTTTGTATGTTTTTGTTTTTGACATTTATCCCAACGAGAAACAAATTTTTTAACATCAGTTTCTAAACCGTGCCAATAATACCGACTTCTGATATTATTAAGCATCCGTCTGATACCCGCGTGGCCACTAGTGGGCAACAGGTGGAAATCGTTTAGAATCACGTCAATAGAATAACTAATCAATAGAATAACAGGTAAAAGAACCAATACTAATTGCTATTTCGGTAACTACTCTAGCAAACCATAAAGTTTTTAATGCCTGGGTCTGTCATTTAAAAAAAAAAACAACTTCAACAATACGTCACGACAATCGTGTGTGTTATTGTTTGGGCTGGTCATGGGCTGGTGATGTCTTTCAACCCTGACATTGGCAAAATCGTCGCGCAAAACGACGGAGCCATAGACACAAAAGTTGAAGTTGAAGTTGAAGTCGGTGTTTATTTATTGAAAACATACCGTAAGTTGCGTTTTTTAAGTTTACCCTGAATATAAATGTTTATAAACTATACTTTAAAGAGTAATTTCGTGGTGAACATTAGAACCACTCAAACGGAATATTATCATATTTACCCAAGTACACCAAACATTTCATTAGTGCTTTTTAAGTGCAGGATTTGCGGTGTATTACTGCATTTTATTTGAGATGTTTTTATTGTAGTACGGAGGGTATTTATTTAGCAATGCAGAATAATAATTTTTATTTTTAAAAACTTGTATTTAAACTGAATCCTTTTCTAATTTGCGAAACCAAATAGCCGCCATTTTGCGGTAGGATGAGCACATCGGGTGAGTTACGTTTAAGTTTTCATGCATTCCTTTCAACACTTTTGATGTTAGCTGTATTCTAGATAAAGCGTCAGCCACCGTGTTTTCGCTACCTTTTACATACTCAATATTAAAATCATACTCCTCCAATGTCAACCTGAATTTTAGTGGACGGCTAGTAGGATCTTTCATATTAAATAAGTATATTAAAGGTTTGTGGTCCGTATAAATTTTGAACTTACGACCGTATAAGTAAGGTCTGTAGTATTTTACTCTCCATATAATTGCTAACAATCCTTTTTCGATGATAGGGTAATTGAGCTCGGCTTTATTCAAAGTCCTACCAGAATACGCGACCGGGCGTCCGTCATTGTTAGATAGAATTGCTCCTATAGCGTATCCTGAAGCGTCTGTTTTTAAACTAAATTCATTTTCTGGTGAAAAATCGGGGTACTGTAATAATGGAGGCGATATTAATAATTCTTTTAATGATTGAAATGATTTTTCACACTCTGAATTCCATTCAAAGGTTACATTTTTCTTACAAAGTTTATTAAGCGCATGTGCTTTCGCGGCAAAGTTGGGAATGAACTTCCGATAATAATTTAGAAAAGCCACAAATCTCTTTAATTCTTCTATATTTTTCGGAACTGGGTAATTTTTTACAACTGTAATTTTTTTCGGGGTCGGGTAAAATTCCGTCAGCAGTTACTAAATGTCCGAGATATAAAATTTGTTTCTTTAAAAATTTACATTTTTCGGGATTTAATTTCAGGTTAACCTTATTTAGTCTGTCAAAAACATTAATTAAATTTTTGTTGTGGTCCTGTAAGTTTCTACCAAAAACTATTAAATCGTCTAAATAAACAAGGCATTTTTTATAAGTTAATCCTGACATTGCCAAAGAAATCATACG